GATCAAACAGAAATCGAAAATTTCAAGGATAAGTGCAAATCAGGAAATATCCATCTACATTATGCAGTTGGGTTCTTTAATCAAATGCTTCTTGTGCAACCCCCGCCTCCCATTAGGATATTCAATCTTGTCTTAGGTGCAATTGCCAAGATCAAAAACTACTTTGCTGTTGTTTCTCTCTACAGAAAATTGAATCCAATTGGTGTCTCTCCCGAGTCCCAATTTCATTACGCTAAATATTCTATTAAATTGTTGTTGTAACTCTAGTCATGTTCCATTCGGTTTAGCAGTTTTCGGGAAAATTCTGTAACGGGGTTACGGCCCCAACACTTTCACTTTCACTTCTCTGATTAAGGGGATGTGCACGGAGAACTGGACCAATGAAGCTGCCCAGATCTTCCAAAAACGATTGAGTAGGGCTGCATGCCCACCATATCACATACGGGACTCTGATTAATGGATTATGTAGGTCAAGAAATACAACCCCAGCACTGAATTTTCACAGAGAAATGGTGAATGGAACTATTGGTGGTGGTAGATTTCAGCCTAACGTAGTTACATACAGTATGGTTATTGATAGCCTTTGTAAAGATGGTTCCATAGATGAGGCTGAGGAAATCTTTGCGGAGATGATGGGTAGGCTCCTCGTGTGATTGTTTACAGCTCTTTGCGGAGATTATGGTTCCATAGATGAGGCTAAAGAATTCGTTGCGGCAATGGAATTTGATGAGGGATAATTTGGCCTGACCAGTGACATAATGGCATGTGAAGCAATCCATCAATTTGGTGACACTTCAACATCCTCGGACACCTCAGCAGTCCAAGTCACCTCGGGTCACTTAGTTAAGACCGAGGCCCGGGTAGCTTGCCACAATCACTGACTTGCCAAGGTGCCATGTAGCTTCTTTCTAGAAGCAAGCCAGTTGTTTCCAATTTTCTCAGGATCACACCGCACGTCAATGGGTCTTATCTCTATCCTGCCTGAGGAAAGACCTGGATAAGCCTTATCAGCTTATATGGTGTCCATCTTCAGGTGCAGAACGGACTCCAAGTTAGATGGACCAGTGATATTGGACACATTTTGTGCGGCCTACGACAGCTCGCCAATATAAAGACATCGCCTCTAACCTCATAAGGTACGCATGATTCAACTCTCTCAATACTCTAGCAAATTTAAGCATTGGAGTGCCCATACCTGATAAAGCACCTCAAAACCTTTGATCTCTCTTTCTTACAGTTTGACCCAACCACGTAACAATCCAACCTTCAGGCAAGGAGCACTAGATCGCGCTACATCAGAACTGTTTAAAACTCTTGAGTGTAGTGCATTTGAACTAAGTATTAAAATACACAACTGCCTAATATATGGAATGTGCAAAGCAGGAATACTTGAAATTGCTGAAACAGTCGGTCAATCTCCTCTGTCCTTCAATCAAGATTGAGGAGAAAGGGGAATAGAGTAAAAAGAAAGGAAAAGAGTAAAATAATCTGAATATTATGATAAGGATTAATTCATTTTATGAAATTATTTAAACTGCACTTGATCTTAGATGATGACTCTGACCGACGGTGAACTGACGACAGGTACAAGATTGTTATAAAATTGGAATATTGGATTATCGCATTTTAAAATTAGAGACGGAATTATCACTCACAAGATAACTGATCGAGAATTTTCCCTACGAATTAATTAGGGGCGGCTCGATCTCCACGCAGAGCAGAATAAGAGTGTCGCTCCATATATTTCTAACTTCTAAGTACAGTACAGGCTACACAGCTGCTTTGGTTGGTCTTGGGGTGGTGATCGCATGCGGCAATGCCGACTGCCACTGCGGATGGACGGACTCGCCGGTCGCCCTGCGAATTCTGACAAAAAGAAAAGGGTTTTTTAACAAACAGTTGATGTACGGGTGGGCTGTGCGCGGGGCCAACATATATACAACACCTACTGCACCAAGAAGAAACACCGTCACCGTATGTAGCAGCATCTTGGAACCGATTGTAAATTGTAATATTGGAGTCGAGACGACAACCCAGTGACCCGCCTGATGCCTGATGGGAATCTTTCAGTTTCAGTTTCCCTTTCCATTATTCATTAATACTAATGTTCAGGTCGGCCGATACGTACGTACTTCTCTCTCTGTTGCCTCACGGAGAAAAATATGAGTAAATGGTCGTCCCACTCTCCCACGAGGCCACGACACGCACCCACTGTGTGTCAGTGCCTTGTGACTTGTGTTCATACATGAAGCCTTTTTTCTAGACATTTTCCATTCAAAGAATGGGTTGTTCAGACTTGAGAGTCCAGAGGGAAGACCCAGTCAAAAAAGAAGGAAATTAAACAAAGGCTTCCTCGTTACCATTGAACTCGTGTATTTAAAATATCAATTTTCTGGGGTATCAAGTTAGTTAACAACGTTCAAAAGCTCTGAAAGTTTCTTGATAATTAAGCCGGGTTGAAGGTCAAGGGCTAAACAGAGAGAAGCATCAAAATGGGACGGATAGGGTTGTTCACTTGCTCCTCAACCCACTTTTGGTTCAAGTATACAGATTCCATCCACAAGTTTTAATTTGCATTACTTATCTACAGTACAGGTACAGTGTATACGTACATTTTTTTTTTTTTGAAAAAATGCATAATATTAAACAAGAGAAATATTTTCAACCGCAACCAATACAAAACATTATCCTTTCTTTACTCGGTGGTATGTATGTTTATTTATTATAAAAGAAATAAAAAGAGTCACTGTGTTGACATTGAAATTTGAAATTCGACAGTGATCGGTATATATGTAATGTAGCACACGGTAACCAGCGATAGGGAGGATTACGGATTACGATCCTCATGGACCTCATCCATATATAGCGAGGACCCGGACGATGCAGCTGAAAATTTAAAAGATTGAATAATTTTATTTATTAATTAATTAAAAATTTTATAATCAAAATTTGCTATTAATTAATTAGGCATAGTCAAAGTTATTATTAATATTTAAAATTTTAATAATTGTATTTTTCATTTAATATTGATTTACAAAGAAAAATTATTATTGTTAATTTAATATGAATAAATATTTTTTAATAAATTTAATTTTATTAATCATTTGTAGTCATTTTAATAATTATTATTATTATTTTCATTATTTTTAAATAAAAATTTGATTGAATTTAAATAAATAAAACTAATTACAAAAACTAACATTTTTATTAATTTCACTAATAATTAACAATTATATAGGAATACCAACCGGGGGGGTTTGGGGTGGGGCACCCGATCCCTATCCCCGCCCCATAGTCAGGACACTCTACCCCATCTCCACCCTGTCCCCCATTGTTAGGCGGGTTGAGGGCAAGGCACCACTCCTCGTAAAGGACAAGGGAATCCTCAAATTTCCCCACTCCTCATTAAGGATGGGGAATCCTCGAATTTCCCCACCCCATCCCTAGCGTTGGATAGGTTCAAGGCAAGGCACCAACTCCCCATCAACCCAATGTTCAATTTGATGACAAAATTGATCAAAAGGATATACCAACTACCAACCACATGGTCAATTTCTAAAAGTACACTAAATTGTCTTTAATTTTCAAAAATGTAATTCTATGAAAATTTTGGAGAATTTATTACATTTGTGTAATTTTGAAAATTTATTTGTAAATTGTTATTAAATAATTTATTTTCTTTTTAAATGGTTTACTTACAGAATTACACTAATTTATCTCATGTTTTCTAATATAGTCTAATTAATAATTTCCTTTTTCCATTATTATACTAACTATCTTAATAATTTATGTATTTATTGGTTCAAATTACAGTTTTCCCTTTCCCATACTCATTTATCTTTTAATCATTTACAATGAAAATTACATAATTCCAAAATCTATCAAATGTACTAAAATTTCCAAAATATTCCACTAATTTTCAATAATTATTTAAATCATTTTAAATAATCTTTCAAAAAATTTATATCTTTTAATTTCCAAAATATTATTTTACGAAAATGTAGTTTTATGAAAAGTTTTGAAAATGTTATTACATTTATGTAATTATGCAAATTTATTGAAAGTTATTTTAAATTTTATTAAATATTTCTTTTTGTTAGATAGTTTACTAACAAAATTACACTAATATATCTTTTATTTTCCAATATAAATTAATTAATAATTTCATTTTCAAACATTATAATGTTTTATTCCCCAATATGCATTCAATCATTAACTATAATAATAACAATAACTAAAATTTTATACTTTTTGATAATTGCTAAATATAATTCTCAATATTATAGAAATTAGTTAAAGAGTTTCCAATTTCTATAAAATGTTAATTAACATGAATATAACAATATTTACCCAAAATACTTTAACAAGCCATGATGAACCATAATAATAAGTATTTAATTTTTGGTAATTTACTAACCGTATTTATTAACTTTTGATAATAATACTATTTAATACTCATTGGATATGGGTTGGATTAAATATTAACCGTATTTAACTATTTATGAATTGATATGAATATTTTAAATGAGAGAGAGTGGATATAGGTTGGAGGAAGAGATTTTAAGAATTGATTGGAGAGTGGGATAACATGATAAATTCTTAATGGTTTAGAGGAGATACCTTATGAGAAAGATTCTAGAAATATTTTTAGGTAGTTGAGTTGAGAATGATGAAATGGCTTAATGGAGTGGTAGGAAGGGGAAATGAGAGAGAGTAAGGAGAATGTAGGGTGGGGGTAATGGAGCAAAGAGAGGCATGCTGATGTGTCAAATAAACATAATATGTATTTACATTTAATACATTTTCGTTTAAAAGTTCATTAAAATAAAAAGACATTTTATTTATAAATATGTATATCATATATTAAATATATGCATATGTAAAAAATAAACTTTTCTTAAATTTTTAAAATTAAAGAAAAAAACACGTGCCATCTGATGATTGGGACAACTAGAAAAAGAAAAAAAAAAAGGAATAGTTATATCAGATAGTCTCCGTCATTTGGGAAAAACATGTGCCTGCACTGTATTTATACAGACTTTTTACAATTTTGTATGTTGGGCTGGGGAGTGGGGACTTTCACCTTCACTGAACCCCCTCCCTGAAAGCATCCCAACACTTGCCTGGCAACCCAAGCTAAAATAATTGAATCGGGTATATTATACAACAACAGTTCACAACCTCTCAATGTCAATGGGCCTCACGTTTAGCATACAACTCTACCTCCGGCTGCACCTTACCAACAAATCTTACAAGTACATGGTGAATAATGGGAATGCCAGCCATTTTTAATTTTTTTCATGACTTTCTACGTCGCAGTCTCTCCTTCAGCGGACGAATTACGTCCTCAATCCCAGCGGAGAACCCAACCGAAGTCTGACTCTCTGAGCTCTCTAATCTTGTTCTTTGAATTATGTTATGATACATGGGGAAAAACCTGATCTGAAAAGATTTATATAGAAAATAAGGTAGCAGTGCCGAGATGACGACACACAAAGTGGCCAACCAGTAGAGAGGACTCGGAGCACAAGTTTCCACAAGGGTCTTGTATGCTGTCGTGGACACTGTTGGTGGGAACAACCCATAAATCACCAAGAATACATACCAGCAGGCAATGCTGCCCCAGATGAAGAAGTGCTGAATCCATGTAAAGTAGTTAATAGAGAGAGCCATCTGGCAGTTCACCGTCCAAACAACACACGAATACATTGTTACACCAAGAATCTCAAAGCCTGCCACTTTCCCATCTCTCCTGAAGGCCTGGTGAAGGATGGAGTTAGTGGTGAAGAAGAAGATAACTATGGAACTGCAAACCCCATTCAGCATCCATCCAAGTATACGGGCCCAGCTGAAAAGGATGTTCTGTACACCTTCTTGATGCAAAAGAGGGTACTGTAAAACCAAAATGAAACTGACTATAAATACAATTAAATTAAATAATAACAAATATTGTGTATGACATAGCTAGTGAGGTATTTAGCCGAGGTGTGTTAATTTCTAGCTGAAAACTATCAAGGGAATAAAAAAGAGTTCACAGTTACGAAGAAAAAACATCAGGGGATGCAACTTTTCCCTAACAGACTGTCAAGGAGATGCAGAGAATCATTTGGCAATTTGCTAACAAAATCAATTTCTTGTCACATGGAAGTAGGGGTGCAACTTGGGCCGGGAATTTGTTAAAGTTTTCATTGGGTCCAAACTCTAAGCCAAGCCCAATGTAGTTAAAGTTCTTCAACTTGAACTACCCAACTTGCAGTCCTATCCATGCCTGTAAAACCATTAACTATAGGCTTGACGTTTGAATCCCATTTTCCATTCAGATTAGAATAACCTATTGCAAGTAAAGACATTGCAGTATTACTACAGTGCGCATTCATGTAAGCCAAACAAGCTACCTTTCATGTGCAAATTTTATGCTTTAACCAAATACTTGTCACAGGAACTCCTATTAGATCTAACTTTTCAAATAACAACTAAATTGGGTACCTTGAGGCAGAGGCGTGCAGAAACATCCTGATCAAAAACACCAAGGGCTATAACTGGGAGCGAAGTGAAGAAGACATTGTAAAAGGACATGTACCAATCATTGTAAGCTGGTTGACCAGAGAAAGAAGCATAAGCCTCAAACCAAAATAGGGTAAACCCAAATGTTATGTTTTTGTAGAAAAAGTAACATATCTGCACACAAATCAAAAGTCCAACATCAAACTCAAATTGTAGAATGTTGTCAACAGACAAACAGAAGTCCTGCTTTCTTCTAGTATAAACAATTTCACTCAGTTTTTCATGCTTCTGTTATATTGACAAGAAAACCAAAATCATTAGGTCATGCTTGAACTCCATGATGTATACAACCTGTAGAATTATCTAGACTGAGTAGAGCAAATAAACCAAGAAGAACCAAAAAAAATCCAGGTCAAACTTTGAAAACCATACTGCCAGCTCAAAATAGTTCAATATAAAAATGATTTATTCATATTTCTTAAGATATGATTTATCTAGACTCCATGATGTATACAACCTGAAGTATCCAACACGATACAGTACAGGTATCTGGGTATCAGAGTCAACTACTACTGGAGCCGAATTGAAACCCACCAACATCGCAGTCCAGCTCACTACCCAGAGGGAAAAGAGTTACAAGCTTTTGTTTTTTGTTTTTTCTTATACAAATAAACTGATTTTTATTTAATGACAGTAACTCCTTGAATATATGGAAGATACCAAATAAAAGAGCTTCAAGCCTTCAACCTGAAAAAGTCCAGGACCAATGTTAGTCCTGAAAATTTAGGGTGTTTGGAGGGGTGGACTGGATATGGACCTAACCTTTGGCATTTTCTTGCATGAAGAGGCCAGCATCAGACTCAAACCAACATTCTCATGTTTGCCAGCCTAGATTTTACCATTGTACCAAGTATGACCCCTAGCCACCAAAGAAACTACTAGTTAATCTGTGATCCAGCTAAGTTGGACAAAGATTGGTTCAACCTTCTCTTGCTTCCATGATAGCAGTGAAAGCATATACCTAGTTTTTCTTGTCTGTAACCCCTACTGGCCTTGCATTAGTGGCAGGCACTTTCTTCAAATAATAAAGAATTTAATGTTAATTAAATCAATGCTTTATATTGTGAGAGTAAAGTTTGTGCATGTTGAAAATCTCCTCTGGATTATAACAGGACAAGGAAAAACTTAAATAAATAGTTTACCATCATGGCTATTCGCCTGTAACACCAATGGCCATGCACCAGCAATAGACGCTCCAGAAAACGGAATTGAGCTATTGCAAAGTCACTGGACATGACAGCCTGTAGCCAAAGATCAAATGAAAAAATAGTCAGGATTTTCAATAGTTGTTGATAAAACAAGTTGACTTTCTTTATTTCTTGTGGGTGGGTCGGTGTGGGGTAGCTAAGCTTTGCTTGCATATAGACAATTGCTGCTCAAACATGAAAACAGAATGGCCGCATCTGGATATCACTGGAAAGGAATAGGCCACAGAATGAAATAAATAATCTAATGATCTCATTCAGTGTTTACAAGAAAAGTTCAGCAAGAGGCATCAAAATAGCAATTGAAGAAAATGAAGTACCGGGTAGGGGTGGTCATGGGTTGGGTTGGACTAGGCCTACAAATATATATTCAAATATCTGGGCCCAGGCTGGTGTACTCAAAACCTAGGCCCAAGCCTGGAAATTTGTGGATCAGGTTGGGCCCCGGCTAAGAATGATTCTATTTGAGTGTGGAAAGTACCCACAACTTGCATACTGTTTCTTTTAAAAATAGAATGCTGTGTGTCTAAAGGAAAGGCTTTCTAGTCTCAGGGCTTTCCTTTAACTGTCTCACATTATTAGACCTCTTGGACTTCTGTATTATGGTCTGCTTGTTTGGACTGGATGATACAAGCCACAAAGACCAGAGTGGATACATGTCCAAGTAAGCAAAAGTTGTATATCATAGTTAGTATCAAAGTATAATTTACTAAAAAAGCTGTTTCTCTCCATATATGGCATATGTAGTATTTTTATTAAAGTAAAATGAGTTGAGCTTTGTTTTTTTTTTTAATATCTTCAGTGGCAAAATGCCTCTCATCAAAACTGGGATCAACCCATGTCTTTGCGGCTTGTATCATCCTGTCCAAACAAGCAGACCATAATACAGAAGTCCAAGAGGTYTAATACTGTGAGACAATTGAGTAATGACAGACACAAGAAGTTTCTTTCCTACTTCCTAGGAAAACCAATCAAATGATGTTTACCATTACATAGAAAATTTATAAATAACAAAAAACGAAATTAAGGTATTTTAATTACCACGATATAGATCAATAATAGAGAATATAAACGACCACCATCTTAACAAAGATTATACACAAAAACAGCCATTACCCAATGTTGGTCCCAGCAATTTGGGGTCTTGGGAGGGGTGGACTGGATACAAACCTAACCTTGGGAACTTTTTTGAATAAATTTGCCACTCTCGGACTCAAAACCCGTGTTCTCACACTAGTTAACTAAAGATTTTACCAATACACCAAACAAAGGCACCTATATATGAATTAATAAATAAATACAGAGTCCAGCCTCTATATCTAATCTAAAGAGAACAGATAAGATGCTAACCTGCATCCCCTCCACACCACTAATACCAACTCCAATGTCGGCTTCTTGAAGCATGCCAACATCATTTGCCCCATCACCAATTGCCAGTGTTGTCTTACCTGTTTCTTTCACCAATCTTGTAACCTGCATATCTTCTACATTTCTATCAGATTGTTTCAATGTCAGTAACAAAAGTAACTGACAATTTCTCAGAAATAAAATAGATTCTCAAAGCCAGTATGATCAAGCTAGTACTTACACGCGCCTTCTGTTTTGGTGAGGAACGGCAGCAAACAACAGATGCACAACCAATCGCCAGCTCCAGAAACAAGCTCTTGGTATTACCGGCAAGAGCAAAATCCAAAGACTTACCATCAATTATAAGAGTTGTTGCCATAGAATTCCCTTTAGCTGAACTAACTTGATTTTTTCCTTCTTGTATTTGTTTCATCACGCTCTCACGAGAGGCCTATGAAAGGTCAAATTTTTCAAAGAACTTTCTCTGGAAAAAGTGTGTTAATCAGTATCACTTGGATCCTGACATTCCCAATACCTTTGCAACTGCATCTTTGTCCCCTTGTTTCTCCAAGGCATTGATATCTGGTGTATCCAATGTGATAATAATCTGCGGCATCTCTTGTCTCAGCAAGCTACATGCATACCTGCAGAATGCCATTAAATTACAACACGTAACTTAGAGAAAGAACACTCATCAACCATACTTTTCATACTGTAGAAATGAACAACAGATTGAAAGCTTTCTAAACCTCACCCAATATTTACTGCAGTTTCCAACTTATCACCAGTTAAGACCCATATCTTTACTCCAGCTTGGGCAAGCCTCTCAATGCACTCAGGGACCTGCACACCAGAGAAAGTATTCACTTCAAAAGTTTATCATCCTAATCATGCAAAAATACATCTAAATACTAAAATCAAGACTTGAAGTATTTACTTCAAAAGCCTTAGAGCTAGTCTGCACTTATGTAGGGTTAGGATATAGGATAAAGGTACACAATAGCCTATGATTTGCAGGAAGCATCTACTTATCTATATACATAAAAAAATGTATGTGTATTGGAAATATGCACATAATGAGACCAATACAGGGCTTTATTAGTTGTCTTCCAGAGGTATACAGTACAAGACATACAACCACACCACTTCAGATAGAATTTGGTGATGCATGCTCCATAACTCATTAAACTAGCAATTTGAAGATAATTTGATATTCACCCCCTTCTGCAGTTTGTCCTCAACAGCTGTACCACCAAGAAGAGTCAAATCCTTCTCAATTTTATCCGCTGCAGCATCCACTAGTGCATCTCGGTCTGAAGTTACAGAAGTCTTGGCTTTGAAGAATTCTTCTTGCCATATTTTGTACTCTTCTTCACCAAGATCACGATATGCAATTACCAACGTTCGCAGACCAGCCTCAGCATATTTGCTGATGTGATCTTTGGTTTTAGTCTCAAACATCCGCCCATCCTGTGAGAGCCTTTCAAACATCACACTGCAGGCATTCATGCAGACAACACAGGCAACAAAGATGTTGGGTTTAGAAACTAGATATCAACATTGTACAGTCTATTTTTAAAGAAGCAAACGTGAAGAATGAGACCTATCTGCACCCTTGCAAAAGAGCAATAACTGATCCTCTGCATTCCTTACAATCACGGACATCCGTTTGCGAGAACTATTAAATTCTAAGACATGAAGAAGCTTATATGATCTGGAATTTAGAAGACAAGTCACAAAACATGCAACAATAATCTCAAGAAGTTATCAGATTTAATGGAAAACATACAATCTTGAAGAATGTTTACCTGTCAACCTTTTCCCCAGTCTGGGGATCTAACTCATGCATTGAGATGCTTGTCTGTGTCCTTTCATAAAATTCAAAGCCAATCTCCCTAGCAGCTATAACAAAAGCTGCTTCATCAGGAGACTCAGCTTGATAAGAAATTTCATCCAAATATTTATTTACATCAGGAATGGCCGTATGACAGATTGCCAATACACGAAAGAATTTCTGTATGGCATCTGAATGAAGCTCGTTTACCCATTTTCCTTCCATGATACGTTCATCTCTGAAGTTGAAACCCTTTATTGCATTTCTTGAGTCCGTAATGTTATCACCATAGTCCCCTAGTTCAGCTGATGGGTTACAAAAATCAGGCAAGCTATCTTTTCTTCTTTTTTTCATAGCTCTCTCCACTTCAGTCACACCACGACCATAAGCAATACCTGCTATGGAGCATTTAACAAACTCCATTGAGTTACATGTCAAAGTACCAGTTTTATCTGATAGTATGGTATGGACCTGCCCAAGTTCCTCATTTAAATTTGATGTGCGGGCACGCGCTGGCCTGTCAGTTTCCTCATAATACATTTCCTGGTCTTGGTTAATAAATATACTCTGCAGAACCTTTACAATCTCAATGGATACATACAAGGATATTGGTATCAAATATCCATACAACATAAGGCCTGTCAAGAAATGAAAAAATGCTGCTAAAGAAGCCCTTCTTGGGTCAAAAAATATAGTTGTATTGTCTGGCCTAAGATACCACCTTTCATATGTTTGACCACTCATATCATTCTTAGTTTTGATTCCAAAGAAAAAGGATCCAACAGAAGAAATTAAAACCAGGGTACTGAAAAGGACATAGACAATTTTATCCATTCTTCTCTCAATCTTACTTCTTTTGGAAGGAGGATCTGTAGCATTCTGCATTACCTTTGTGTCATGCCCAGTAAAAATCACCACACCATAAATATATTCAGTGTTTCGAAGTTTAGAATCCCTCAGAAGAATTTGCTGTGGTGATAGAGGGTACTGACTACCATCATAGTGCAAACTCCCAACAAAGGAATACAACTTTTCGTTTGGGTCTTCACATTTGATAACTGCTTTAAAGTTTTGTAAGGAGCACTCATCTTGAAATGCAGACGTCACCTCCAAAAATTGCTTAACTTTTAGGTTTGTCTCACCATCAAGATTCATGGTTTCAACATAACAAATCCCATCATCATAACTTGAGGACAGCAGAAATAGATCAGCAGGAAAGAATTCATCCTTCTCCACCCTAACAACATCTCCAACTCGGAGTTTCTTCCATTTGGTTACATGGAAAGTATTATCCTGACTGTAAACTTTGACCTCCCGATTGTTGGCCTCTATGTCCTGCAATTACAATATTCAATTCTAAGATTATCAAGAGCAACTAAAACGTAGTAGTTTATATTACCTTTTAATTCACAATAAACAGATAAGATCATTTAACATAATTATTTGGAAAATATTAGAAAATATTAATTGTTTTAAGAGGTGGCAGGTGGTAGCAGGTCAAACTCACCAAAGGTATTCTTATATTCAAGAGTTGACTGATTTTTTTTATCAATTCAAGATTTGACTGATTGACTGCTGAAGAAAGTGAAGTGACAAATTTTTAACTTCAATGGCCGTGCCTCAGGCAAACTGGGGCTATCTGAGGTGATCAGAACTTTTAGAAATCATAATGTTGACATCTATGTTTTTAGGCCCTATTGATGAGGGAATATCATCAAGGGCTCAACTGTTACATTAGATCTGCAATTGAAGGAGACTGCTGAGTAGTGATTAATTGGATTACTTCAGATGCAGATGGTCCTTGAGCTCTAAGATTTGCTATTAGAGAAGCCAAGGCATTAGCCTCCCTTTGAACAGCTTGTTCAAGTGAGTTTGTAGATCAGTTAATGCTTTAGCTATTGGCCAGAAATTGGGTTGGGATACCAGAACTTGCAAGGGGAAGAGCAATCAGGCCATTGGGTCAATGAGCAGACATGATTCCCTACTTGTAATATTTTCCCTTGTTTGTTCAGTGCCAATCTGTCTTGTATCTAAGCTGTCTCAACTCCCTGCTGTTAGTGCCACCTAATTAGCAGGGATTTCCATTTGTGATAATAATTAGAATCATTTTCTGATTTCATTTCAGCTCAGTCCATCCATCCACGCTAGTTCAGCTTTAAGTTGCTGTTTGTTTTATTATTGAATTATGGTGGTATCAGTTGGTTGGGTCATTATAAACCTTAATGGTTTCTTTTAAGCAATTCCAAGTGAATTATCCACAATAAGAAGCTAATTACAACTAAAATGTTTAGTGCACCGTAAATCATGGAGTTACACCTTCAGGTTTAAAATGGATAGAAATGTTGGTAATGATTACCTGCTTTCTGCGCCTCCAGTCTTCCACGGCCTCCTTGGCCATTGTAGCTCCGATCACAACTAGAAGAGGAGCAAGAATGCTAACAGCCGAGTACGGTGCCAAAGGACTAAAAGAAACACAGGCAACCACAAGAAAGTAAACATTGGCAACCCTCCTAAACTGCTCAAACAAAGACTTGGGGATAAAATTAGCTGCCGTGTACTTAGTTGTAGAAACATAGTTTCCCCTGTAATTGAGCTGAATCGCTTCAGGGTTGTCTGGATCGTTGCAGTACACCACCCTCGAGTAACCTCTCTGCCCTATCTGCGAATGATCATCCTTGGAGGAAGTCCGAAGGCACGAGAAGGTGTAGAGCTTGCTGAGGCGTATTGTTCTCTTTCGTCTACCTGCCATCTTCCGCCAATAACAAAATGAACGGTGGATTTAATTCTTCTTGCTCCCAAGAAAAGAGTAGATCAAACTCTGCTACCATTTGCCATTGCCATTGCCATTTCTCTCCTCCTTTCCTCTAAGAGAAGAGCATTTTCGGATGAGATTCCCGTTTAAAGATGCCACACTCCACTTATAGCAAGAAAAAAGAATTACAGAAAACTGAACTATATCTGTATGCCTCGGTCCGATTATACAGATCTTTAAGCGAAAAACTTACAAAGAAACAGGAATATACGGTTCCAATACATACAACACGAAATAATATCAGTTTCTGAATCATACCACTGGTTTCAAACAGAGCAAGTGAGCTTATGGACTGTTAAACCAAGCTCAATTTGATCTGACTTGGCGGGAGTTAGGTAGATTTCAAGAAAATTAGATCGACTGACAAGAAATGTGAGATAAACTTCAGTTAAGCTAAAGCTAAACATAACTCGTTATGTAGAAGGTCCCCAGACCCAGAGAGACGGGAAATGAGCAGAACCCTAGACGCTAAAAGATCTCGAGAATTCCTTACTTTCGGTAGAAGTTGAAGAGATTTCTTGCTTTCAGCGTCGGCTGGGGACGTGTGTGTGTGGAGGGGCGGATGAGGAGCGAATATTACACAAGCAAGATGAGTGCGGTGGTTTTTGCATCTGTTCCCGGCTTTGCCGGTTTTATAAGCAAAATTACAACAATAAGACGAACGAGGCAGTTGCCGTACAACTCCCCCGATGGGACAAACGCCGTGGCTAATGGCTTCTTTTTCGTTTGCCATTCCTGCTCAAGCTTTATTTTATTTTATTTTATTCATTTTATTTATATATTTCCCCTAAGAAGAAGAAGATGATTCAGGATGCGCGTGCTTGCGTACGGGGCAGCTTTCCACTGTCAGATTGGAATCCGATTAAGCATGGCTACTCGTAAGATTCCAATCCAAGGGTTAATGGTGGCAGTAGTAGTAGTAGTCGTCGTCGTCTAGTAGAACATGTTTTTCTTATGCGAGATATCAGATGTGAATGAAGTCAAGTCATAAACTCTGCGTTATCGGATCCGGATCCAAAGGGTGTGATACGATACAGATGTGGATTCGAATTCGACAGCGTGCAATCGCTTTTCACGTAGAAACGTGCCCCTTTTTTTTAAAGTTCAAAACGTCCTCGTTTGGCTGCCTCCCCTTAGTCCAGCTTTATAACGAAAGAGAAGGGAAAAAAAAGACTGTCCCCCACATTGGAGAAAGAGTTGCCGTTGCCCCGATGATAGGATGCCCGCTCCAATGCGCGGCACCTACAATCTTGGTTTTCAGTAGTAGCGAGTAGCGACACATTCCATCCGATCCAAAGCTCGAAAAGATTCCATTCTAACGGTTTTACCAAAAGGAGGAGGGATGAATTTGTCCATCTCAATTGGACATCATCACGTCTCAATTTTTCCGGAATTGACGTAATCACGCAATAAAAGGGAAGTCAAACAACTACCCCACCTGTAGACTGTAGCCTGTTGATCTGTGAAGTGTTAGCAGAGGCAGCGTACACGTGGTGCTATGATGACTACAGAGAAAAGGACTACGGTATGTACCAGAAGTCACTGTAATGCATTAGCGGTAGGGTCTGATCTGGATTTGGACTGAAACTCTTTATAATAATTTATATCTCAAAATAGAATAAAGAACGACTCATAGTCAATTAGTCATAATGTACAGTCTCGATATAATCAGGATTAAAAACACCTGTTTGATAAAAATAATTTAATAAAGAATTCCAATCCAACGGTACTCGTCCATAGACGGACGAGTATTTCAAGAATTCGTATTAGCTGAACGATACGGTTGTGTACGTAGAGGTAGCTGATCGCTTCAGCCCGGCCTACAAAATTTGTGGACTTGGATCTAAGTTTTGAATATATGTAATACATTATGCATATATTATTTAAAAAAAAATAGATTATATTATATTCTTAAAAATATTTACATCCAAACCTTCGAGAGGTTGAAGCAATCGTGGTCCTCTCCTACATACTTGCTGGGCTATATCATCAGCTAGGATGTTTTGTTTTCTGTTTACATAATAAACATTACAGGTATCAAAACACCTAATAGAGTAGATACTATCCTTATACATTTTTTTCCAACCAACTACAGTTTACAGAGGTCATTTATAATATCAATTATTGTGAATTAATACATAAGTTGTTGACCTGCCACACAGAATCAGATGGTTGGTTTGCTTGAATACTTTTCAACCATTGTGAATTAATACATAAGTTGTTGACTTAGACAGCCAGACTGTTAGGTATGGAATCGTTTAGGCAACCGATTTCGTTTTACCTCAAACTCGATTTCTAGTTAAAAACCGTTGAATCGATCAAAAACCTGTTTATTTGGGTGTATGATTGAATCGTCAACTCATTTAATTATTTTTGGTCATTTTATTTTAATTATTTTAAAATTTTTTTATTAGAACAGGTCGTCTATTTGAACCAAACAATCAAACCGTCGACTCAGAAATTGGCGGCTAGAATGATTTCGGTTCTAGGTCATTTTTTAAAAACATTGATATATGTTTATCTATATAATATATATAACATAATGGATAAATATTATAAATATGCAGTATTTTATAAATAAAATACATTGACATGTAATCAGATCGTATGCTTCATGTTGGAAACCTAAGCCCATGTTATAGCCCTTATTACAAATGCAAATCGTAGTCTAGCCTATGATCACCCGTATTGTGGAACCAATGGCATCATTCCATGTCAATTATAATGGTCCGTTCGGTTTAAATCGGAATCGGAATCGGAATTAGAATGGTTTATTTCCATAATCTGTTTGATTCAAATAAAAATGGGAATGAAAAATGGAATCAGCAAGAATGGGATTTTATTTCCAAAGGGAGAGTCATTCCACCAGGAATGGGAATGAGATTTCAATTCCACCCAACCAAACACTTGAAATCAGAATAGGTTATTTCGATCCCGATTTTAGACCCCTATTCCTACAAACCAAATGAGGTATAAATGTTAGGTGAGAGATTGGTGGTTGTGAACAAGGTTTTAAAAACCAACTCGAAACCGGAATCGTTCTAGCCATTGGTTTCCATGTTGACAATCCGACCGTCCAATTCGAATGGACGACCTCTTCCAACGAAAAAATAAAAATAATAATAATTAAAATAAAAAATGGTCAAAACCGTTGAACGGGTTGATGGTTCGACCGTCCAAGTCAACTGGTCGTTGACCAATTCAACAAATTTTGGCCAGGGACCAGGTTTGAGACAAAACAGAACCGGTTTCCTATACATCTGAACACTCCGACTATCTGGGTCAATGGCAGTTTGAAAACATTAGTTGTGAACCATATGTATTTAATGACTGATGTGTGTCATTATCATTAATTTTGTAGCCCTTTATAGAGCAATTGCTTTTTGAAGGCTCACAATCTTTTTTATTGTTTCTATCCCTACACCAGGGATGGCAATTTTCCCCATCCATGGTCCTCGCGAGGAACTCGTCCACATCAGGGATTGGGAATGGAGGACAACTTTTATCCTCAATGGGGATTAGGGTCGAGGATGGGGAATATGAATATGATCCCCAACCCGAACCCGCCCCATTGCCATTCTTACCTTACAACGGACAATTCAATTTGTGCTCCTTACGCTATATATCGTTGAATGGTTTTTGTGCTGGATCATGTTCTTGTTTCCATCACTTGTGTAGACTATAGTCAACCAGGAGTGAAAGCCCTTTCTTAAGAATGGCAATAGGATGGTGTGGGGCCGGGTTTGGCATGCCCCAACCCTAAACTCAAATGTCCCACCCTTGAACCCAATTGGGACTAAAAATCTTAACCCCATCTCCCATCTCTACAAGGAACAGGGATCCTCGAATTTGTCCCACCTCGCCTAGTCATTCCTACTTTCATATTGTAAGTACATGTAGTTCTTTATCACTCCAATTACATTGCAGATATCAAAATAAGGTCATGAGCACAAATCTAACAACACGTGGAATCTCCCAGAACCCATAATGGGCTTAATAACGATCACAGACTTGTGCGATGAGTTTAATAACCACCATAAACTTGCAATGAGCTTAACAACCATCGCATACTTGCGATGAACTTAATATCCATCACAGAAAATTGCGATGAGCTTAAAAGCTACCCGGGATTTGTGATAAGCACGAAAGACCGTCCAAGACTTTGCGATGAGCATAAAACACCTCTTGGGACCCACAATGAACAATGGGCATCGCCTAAGACTTGTAATAACATTGCCAGGTAGATCTTGTTCTTTAACACGTAGCCACTAGGAAACTTGTAAGGAGACGTAGCCTACACGTGCCACGTGAGAATCTTTAAGAAAAAGGAAACTTTATCTTTTGAGGATATTGCTAGACATGTGGCAAAATCCCCAAGGTGTTCCCTTAATAGATGACATAAAGATCCCCTTTCCTAATAGGAAAGGTCTTCTTTTAGATCATTCTCCTTATAGTCTTGGGGTCATATCTATAAAAAAGGGAATAACTCTCCCCCATGTAAGACAATACCATATAACTCTAACCCTAGGGCTTCTTAGAGGAGCTCACTCACTCTGTCTCTCATTTTTCCTTCTCTTATCTTCTCTCACTGTTCCCAATAATTAGTATTCCTCCCGACATTCTCTCTTTCATGTCATCTTCTTCAAACCTTCGAAGACTTGACCAACCTTCGTTGCCTCACCACTGCAACATATGTATCGGGGTGGGTTCTGGCCAGGGTCGAGTCAAGGTGGATAAGTACCATCCCTTTCAAGTTTCCCCGAAAATCCACCCCAATTAGTAGTAAAAAAACCCAACCCGACCAGGGCAAACAGGGTGGACCCTATGAGCAAAGTTTTAAAAGGCTAAAGGTGTAGTTGAGGCATAATGGCCCAAAAAGGTGAGGCATAAGCCTCAAAGTTTAAGGAAAAACTAATTTAAGTTTGTAAATTGATGCAAATAACATATGATATGCCAAATTAAAATGATAAAAAGTACACATGTCCATAAACTAGAAGTTTATAAGCAATAAGTTTCAACATTTAAGTATTAAATAAAATAATAACTAATGAACTAACAATTGTAAACATTTTACATTTCATGTAAAAAACCAATTTAGAATAAAGGAAACAACTTAGTTTATTTGATCTATAATACTAATTATTATTATTAAAAAGAAAAAAGATCCATTAATAGAAGAAATGAGAAAAATAACAAATTTGGGACATTACATTTAAAATAATAAGAAAAATCTCACTTAATTTATCCAAATAAAACTAAAAACTTGATTAGTCCTTTTTGCATCGAAACTCTCTTAAAATATTAAGAAAAACTAATAAAATTTTATTTGCCTTATTGATTTTTCTTTTTATTTTTTATTTGAGCCATAATTATTGAAGTTTTTTTTCTCTAATTTTATATACTTTAAAATATAAAAATATATATTTTTATATTAATTTACTAAATTATCATTGATTCATTGGTAATTGAGACTTATACCTTTTTATGGCTACTGCCTCAGGATAGGAGGAATACCCCTCACACCTTGAGGCTTGAAACTTATCCCTCATTCTGATAAAGGCTTAAACCTCAAGTCAAAATTGTGAGAGTTAAGCCACGAGACAAAATCTTTATGCCACGCCTCTTAAGGCTTAAGCCTTTTAACCCACGAGTAAGCCTTTTAAAACAAT